TCGTAACAGTATACATACATATGTATGTATGAATTTATGAACCTTAACATTTGGTTCGTTAACAATGAACGACTTGAAATAAACCATGTATACGGTTGTTATTGTTTTAAAAATTCTCAAACTCTGGACCGAATTCTTTATAGCTAAGTATTTTGCACGCGAAATAGCCCCACACGGTGATCAACAAAAGTTAGGCTAAACTAGAACTCCTGACCGAGTTTTCCACGTTCCTAAAATAGTCGAGTCTACGTAACTGTAACGACCCAGATTCATATCTGGCCATGGTCAGCCACTCCAGCATCATTTCTCAACAACTCTTTGGGGAATTTGTGTGTCGTTTCAACTATGAATACTAGATGAAAAACTTGGTGAGAAATTCTGGTTTGGAGCTTTTAAGTAAGTGATATGCGGCCTAAGTTGTACATACGAATATATACTAGAGCAGTTCAAGATACTGTGCATATGCTCATGCATTTGCATATTCCTTGCATTTGTAAATTCTCAAAAATAAAATGCACACGGTTGAAAAGCTTTCGCAAAGAGATAACAAGTGACAGAATCTTTCACTTTTTTTTTTATTGTTCAATAAATGATTATAGATGACCAACGGGCCAAGGTGTAGGGATGGTATTTTCAGAGATGGCAGTCGAGAGTTCTTGCTTTAATTTAAGCTTAAGTCGAAGGTCAGGAATCAGCTTTTATTTTTTTTGCTAGAACTTCTCAAATATTACAAAAAACGCGATTTTTCGACAGTTTGACCTCATTGATCTCAAAATCTCGAGCTGATGGTAGCTTTATACTAACGGATTCGTAATCAGCACAAAATAGTCTATCAAAAGCAGTTTTAACATTCGCCACACCAAATTTTTCCATTTTTGTTGGCCTGTGTTATAATTATGCATACCTACTTATGTACATATTCTAATCATCGATCATCCATCTAATTTTAGTTTGCATGCCGAACGTAGATATGTACATACATGAATACTATGAGTGTACGCTGACATCGGCAACGATTACGAATCCACACCAGGGATGGAAAAGTAGGTACAAGTGTACCTTTTTACGACTTTTTCGAATCAAAAGGTACATTCGGTACACTGAGCTCGATTTAGGTTAAATTAAGAAACATTTTTTAAACAAAGAACATCATTGCGTCAACAAGAAATCTTAGCAAAGTGGTCAAATTCCTTTATTAAATTCTTTGTTAATAGTGAAAAACTCCTCACGTTTTGAGGGATTTCTAGCAAAGTAGCTACACTGCATGTGTGAATTTTAATTGTGAATGAGTTGAAAGTGTGGAGGAAGCAAATAATAATTATAGGCGGAAATATCTAAAATCTGAATTTAACATGGTGTGAAGGGAATTCATTTATCTTACAACGATGGATATGTAAGTCAAATTTTAGCTCAAGTTCGCCTGTCCACGAAATACCACGGTAGGGTTTTGTATCAAAGGCGTGGTTTACAAAAAAAAAAACCCAAAATGCTTTATGTATGCAGTGCAATATAGGCGAAATGGAAAGACTCCAACATCTGCTCTTCAAGTGCCCAATTTATTATTCCTTAAGGGACTACTACCGATGACCACTTCTAAAAGAGCTAGAAAGCAACTCAATGTATATATTCCAATTGATCGATCAATTTAGTCAGGATGGAGTACCTCTATGTTGTTAACTGTTTGCGATTCAGAGCCAACATATTAAATGAATAAATTGTGTAAACTACTGTAACTTTCTAAATACATTTTTAAGTAATTTCACTTTGACTATATTTTTGAATAATTATATCAAACATGCAAACTCAAATGTAACTATAGAAAAGCCTGCTGTTTATAAGCAGGGTTAAATAAAATGAATGAATGAATGATACCGAAAAAAATCATACAATTTTTTTTGTTTATAAAAAAAAATATTAGGAGGTCGCTCAAAGCGCTCAAAGTTTTCCATGCATTTTACATGGGGGAAAACAAGTTTTCGTAGAAATGGTATAAAATTCTTGAAAATCAAAATTTTTTAACGGAAAAAGTTGTTTCTCTTTAGGGGACTGCCAATAATAAAACCCAACTGTTTATTATAACATTTTTAAATACAATCCCCATTGAATTTTTTGTGGGTTTTTGGGGGCCTATAAAAACTAGTTAATAATAGAAAATGGTCATATAACCAATAATATTATTGAAAATCTCCAAAACAGAAACAAAGTTTTTCGACCGAAAAATATTATTTCTCAAGAATTCTATACCACTTCTAGGAAAACTTTCGAGTGCTTTGAGCCACCCCTAATATTTTTTTATTTCCACATAAAACTGCTTTTTCGGTACAGCACAATCCTAGAGGTCAAATTCCGACTTAGGCCCCTATTATGAGTTGCATTCGATTTTCGACTGTGGTCGAAAGTGCTGAGCGAACGAATTTTCATTTGGTATTATGGCGCTCATTCGATGAAGAATGGCGCTATTGTGAATTTCGCTCGTTTNCTCATTCGATGAAGAATAGCGCTATTGTGAATTTCGCTCGTTTAGGTTGTTCACAATAGTATATTTTTCACCGCTGAGAAGCTTTGTTTACAAATCGAGCAAACTAAATAGAGTGCTTATACATATTTATGCAAATTGTTATAATTAAAATGAAGTAAAAAAGAAAGCAATTTTATAAAAACGTGGTAAAATGAGTACAACGAGTTCTGGTTCAACGATTCGTCAGAGGATGAGAGCTTATTAAACTGGCCAGGAGTAGCAAATGCTCTCTTAAACATTTAAGTTTATTAGTCTTTCGAATATATTTTGATATAAAATATATTTAAGAAATTTGTCTACAGATTCATTAAAAAGTTCCGACCATCTAAAGAGGCGTTTGTGAGCCAAATCTATTTCAAATATTTTAAAACTATCAACAGCGCTACGATTTTGTTCTCAGAGATCGTGCCAACAAACATTGGGATTTTCTTTCACAAGTAAAACCAGCCTTTCGAGCTTGTGTTTAGTATTCACGATGTTAGAACTGCATGAAATTAATAAAAATTGTTTAAAATTAGTGTTTAGCCGCCAAAATGTAAGAAAACATATACAAAATCATACATTTTTCACAATTTTCTAACACTTCGTTACACCATCGAAAGCAAAATTCTGTTCGACAGAAAATTCGATACTCAACGAAAATTTCGACACGCCTGCATAGCTCATAATACGAATTTCACTTTCGATCTTCGATCTTCGATAGCCAGCGAAGATCGAAAATCGAATGCAGCTCATAATAAGGGCCTTAATTTTTTTTTTTTGAGCACCCAATGTACATACATATATGTATCTTTATTTAATTATAAATATTAATTCAACTGTATGTTAATCACTTTCTTATTAATGCAAATAATGTATAAATTTATTAAATTGTTACCAATTGTCTGAAAATAATTAAAAAAAAAGAACAAAATAGTTAGCTCCTTTTTAGATACATTTGACAATAAGGTACATTTCAATTGTCATATCAGGTACAATTTGAAATTTCGATTTTCCATCCCTGACCCACACCGAAAAAGCCAAAGGCCACAGAACAAAGAACTACCACCATATGTAAAATGGCGAAGACGAACAAAACTAACTTACATTGAGTCGATTAAATAAAAATACATATTTAGTAAATCTTACCTTAAACGATAAGCTGTTTCTGGATTCAGTATCCAAAAAGATGTATTTTACCACAATTTTTATAAAATGTCGTAAGGCGGAAGCTTCCGCAAACTCAGATATGGCCAGGCACCTTTGCCTGATCTTTCAGAAGTATTTTCTGCTATTCAAACTCCGTAAAATCCTATTGTCTCAGTTTTTCCGGTAATATTGGCGCTCAGTGAATATATTTTAAGGTTTTTAAGTACTTAAAAGAACTTTATTTCTGTACATTCAAATTTTTTCTCTAATTTCACAAGCACAACCTCCGTCTGGCTACAAATGCAGAAGAAAAATGGCGCCTTCGGGTCCATTTTCAATTAAAACACGAAGCGTGATTAAGCACGCAGGGTTGCTAAACTGATTGCCAGCTATAGCTGTATTCACACACTATATTTCAAGCATGCTTGCTGTTACTCGTTTGGAACACACATATAAACGCATAGATTTATTATTAAACTAATTCATTTTTATATAAAAGCCCACTGATTTTGTTTAAAAAAATTACCAATTTTATCCATGGACACCAACAATCGGCACTTGTTGACAAACGCTTTGCACTTACAACCACTTTTTATTAAAGGATACCATAGAACGTAGATAACAAAAAGGGGCAACTCGTTATAATTGTGCCGAAAGTGTGCAACAGGGGCGTGTTTTCTCTTTTCATCCAATCAAAAAACGCATTAGGGCAAAAGAGAAGGCACGCCCCTGTTACGCACTTTCGCTACAATTATAACGAGTTGTCCCTTCTTGTTATCTACGTTCTTGAAAATAATTTTATAAACAATCACCTCTGTATTTTACACATGCACTGAATATCATATATTTGACACCTTCAATTATATATTTTCTAAATTAAATTACATTTTTCCAATCACTATGCAAAGTAACCACGAAAATTCACAATTACCGCTTTCCTTCTCTTTTGCTTGTATTTTCCGTATTCGAGGCGAAAATAAAAGAACTGCCGCGGCAGAGTGAAAACGGAGACGAATTCTTCTTGTTAACGTTTCAGATACGGTCAAAATCATCACGGTCCGTCTAATAAATTTACCTTCTTTGATTGAACTATACGTAAGCCATTCCTACGGAATCTTGTTCCACTTCCGCTGCAAGCAAAATTTTCCATTACAACCCTGCGCTTTGTATTTCCTGCTGAATTTTGACATGTTTACACAAACAGCTGTTGTCTGACAATCGCTTAAGATGGAGAGTTCTTTGCGCGGCTCCCCTTCTATTGGAGCTCTATCCCACAGCTCCGCTTAAGAACATTAAGCACGAAAACAACACAAGCACATCAACACTAGCAGTTGCAGCAACAACATCAGCAGAATCAGGTAGACACATATGGAATAATTTGGTACAGATACGACGTAAAGACTTCTGCAGCTTCTACAAGCAAAGACTGTTCATTTTTTAAATCATAAATATTTATAAACTGAATGCGAGGTGGTATTACAAAGCTAAGTAGAGGGGTGACATATTGACAGTTTTATGTAGTAACTAAGCGTTTATCATATTTGCAAAACCAGTTGTAATGTGATAAGGGCAATGAACTTTTGACCACCGAGATATCAAAGAAAGCTTTTGGTCTCTTGCGGCCGGCGCACAAGCGATCATCGAACTATTAGATTAGTGCCTGCGGCGTCTATGGTTGCTTTTTATTTGCCACCGAATGAGATCTGTAAGTAGCATTTGGCAAACTAAACGAAAAAACTAATACAATGGATTGCTCATTAGACAAACGGAATTCGCCAAGTCAGCAACTATGGTAAGCTACAACGCAATTATCGTTAAGGGTAATCAGTATAGTTGTGAATGCAAATTTAAGGAGAGCAAATAAAAAGTGTATGAGCTATTGTGCTGACGGGAGCAAGGAGTTGACGTGTCCAAAGTGAAAAGGATTCAGACCGCAAAAATTGATAACAGAACTTATAAAACAAATTTGGTAATAAAACAAAAAGTTATAATGGCGCAATTGGTTCCTGATGTTGTTATTTGGTGAGTAAGCCCTAAATACATATTTTTTTTTTTTATAAAAATGTATCCATACTTATTGTTCCTTCACCCTCCTTAAATAGCGGACTAGTGATCACGGCAGCTCTATTGGTACACTTCTTTTCGGATATATTGCGAATTTCCTTTGGCGGCTATTATACACATGCCACACTCTCACAGCTTGTGGAATCCCAATCCACCAAAGAATATTCTTGGTTGTTGAAACTTTTAGCCAATTGTTTTGGTTATAGTTGTGTCTTTGTACCTGGCTATCTTATTTACAAATATGTTAAACGCACAAATTATCTGGAAAAGAATGGTAAGAGTACTTAGACAACAACATTACAGATATGCAACTTTATTCAGTACTATGCTTTTATATTACAGACAAAACATGCATTTATACTGCGGTCAGTATGTGCATTACTGGCAGTCCCGGCACTGAACTTGACTATTCTGAGCCGTTGGAACGCAAACCCATGGAACCGTTGACACCGCCTAATGGCTTGCAGAAACACACAAAATCCCAAGAAACATTACTACTTTTCTGGTGCTTTGGTGGACTAATGGTTTCATACCTCACTTGGGGTGTACTACAGGAGAAAATTATGACGCAGCAATATTTCAATTACAATGGTCAACCGTCGCATTTTAAGGACTCACAATTCCTTGTCTTCTGTAATCGTCTTTCAGCTTTTATCTGTGCAATAGTGACGCTACGCCTCAAACGTCCAGCCGGCCGTCATTGTACACCATTATACATGTACTCCTTTGCATCTTTCTCGAATATAATGAGTGCATGGTTCCAGTATGAAGCACTCAAATTTGTCAGCTTCCCTACGCAGGTGCTAGCAAAGGCATGCAAAATTATACCTGTCATGTTGATGGGTAAAATTATATCGAAAAACAAATATGATTGGTATGAGTATGTATCCGCTGTACTAATATCATTAGGCATGATATTCTTTATGACCGGTTCAGCGAACAGCACCAATGCTAGTAGTGTGACAACATTCACTGGCATCTTTTTGCTTGCAATGTACTTAACGTGCGACAGCTTTACAGCGAATTGGCAAGATGATTTATTTAAGAACTATGAAATGTCGTCATTGCAAATGATGGCTGGTGTCAATCTGTTTTCCACCATCTTTACAGCAACCTCATTGTGGGTACAAGGCGGTTTTATAGATTCGCTTACATTTGCGAGCGAGGTAAGCTAGAAACATGCTTTGAGAACCATAAAAAATATATATAATTTTTTTTTTTTTTTTGCTTAACAGCATCCTAAATTCATACTTGATGCCATTACCATTTCCATGTGTTCCGCTGTGGGTCAATTATTCATTTTCTATACAATATCGGTGTTTGGTGCAGTTGTATTTACCATCATCATGACTTTACGACAGGTGAGTGGTTGTGTGCGCCTAGGCGTGGAAAAGCATACATACATGCATATGCGCCAGAGCGCGATAGTGTCAACCGAGTCTGGTGTGAAAAATAGGCCAATTTTATTTGTTTTATATTTTATATTTGTACAATATGTACGCAAGTATAAATAATGGTACATTAGAAATGTGTTTTGTAGCAAGCAAATTAAAATAGCTGGCTTATTAAATGAAATGCTGAAAGTTGAAAAGAAAACATGTTCAAATATTTTATATTTATGTATGTATGTATGGTCATGTAAACATTTACTTTCAAAATTCAGTGGGAAGTAATTTTTCATTAAGGCAAGTTACTTGATCTAAGCTTGACTAATCAACTGCATAGTTCTAGAATAAAAGGGAATAAAAAATATAGGCTGCATACCTGGATCTGAATCAATTTTGTATGCTTGTACGCGATACGTAAGGAATTGATGTGTTTAGGTGATTTTAATATAATTCAATAGCAACTTAAATATCTTCACATATGTATGTATGTATGTACGAAAAAAATACCAGCTTAATATTTATCGACAACCTAATATTTATTTTTCCTATACATATATTAATTTTTTAATTATTTCTTCTCCCCTCACTATAGGCGTTTGCAATATTGCTTTCCTGTTTGATTTACAAACACAAAATATCGGTGCTCGGTATTTTCGGCATACTGGTTGTATTCTTTGCAGTCTTCATGCGTTCCTATGGCAAGCAGCGCATGAAAGTGCTACGCAAACGAGCCGAGGCGCACAAACCGAAAATGGCTGCGTAGTTGACACAACTGGAGGATGGAAAAAACGAAAGCAGTACTGGTAGTGGTAATGTTACTTAAAAAAAAAGCTTGTAGAGGCAAAGAATTGAATATGAATTTAGGCATGTGAATCAAAATTAATGGCGTGCTTACTAAAGCATAGTATTTAGCTCTCAAGAAAAATCAAAAATTTAAGAAATCAAAAAGGATCTGTCTTCTATCGAAATTTCTTAAATCATTTTGCGTTTGATGACATGCTGATCAAGAAAGCAACAAGGTTGCAGTATTGCAATAATTATTACGTACTATCATTAACTTCATAACTAAAAAACCGAAAACTCTAGAAAAACTGCTTTAAAGTTTAGAATTTACAAAGTTGTTACCTTAATATACATATATGTACATATAAGGTAACGATATACTTCTATAGTAAAAATTAATATGTACATATTTTGTTCTATGTAGTGAGCTACTGGTAATCGTTATAGCTCTGAAATTTTTACACTGCATAGAAGAGCAGGTAGCGGTCATTTCTACATACTTAACTCGATTTTGTTTTATTTCGAATTATTACACTATTGAAGTAAATGAGCGATACTTATCTTATTACATTAAACGAGCAATTCTTGTATATACATATATATCCATAGTGTTCTTGGAAACGGCTCTAACAATTTTGATGAAATTTTGTACACAGATAATTTTTTGGAATTTAAGGTTATCTGAATAGGCATTATCTCCGAGAAGACTTGTATAAAGTTGCCACCTATTCGAAATTAGTTACAAATTAATTAAAACATCAAATGGAAGGTATTTTAAAGATCCCTAATAGGGTTGCCACCTATTTGGAATCGTATATTTATTTAATTTTTTGTTTAGAAAAAAAGGTAAAATATTATATTCATGGGTATTAAGAGAAGGTTCTTAAACAATGTTTTCCCTATATACAATTAGTATCCCTTAGGATAGTAGTGTAAGGTTGCCACTTATTTTCGATTCTACAAAATTTATCTAAAACATCGCAATATGGATATCAAATGAAAGATATTGTTGAGGACTTTTATTAGAAAATATTTTCAATCAGGGCTGCCAAGATTCTATGTAATTCAAATTTTAATTATGTTAATTTCAATCGGCATTTTTTATGTATACACAGTACATATATGCTCAAGATATATACTATTCATTCCAGCGTATTTCGGGAGTATTGTTGCCTTCTAAATTTTAGAGTAAGAAATTTACTTAATAGATATCGAAATCCAATTTTTTTTTTCAAAAATATTTTTTTAAAGCTATCCAAATGACCAGTATTTGATATCAATACCTTAAAAACTTTAAAAAGTATATGCACTCCGGGCAAAACTCGGTCAACCTGGTACTGTACATTTATTTCTTGAAAAAAATTTACAGCAACGGCAAACTAATTTTTCAAGCAACAAAAATATGGTGAAAAATATTTCTTGTGATTTTTCTTGAGAGCTGAAAACTAAACTTAAAGAAAAAAGGTACGCTACGGGCTGGCAGGGCTTAAGCGTTAAGAGACTTCCTTAAATTTATTAAAGCAGACTTGCATTGGGCATCGACTTCCGCTGAAAAAATATACGGCATGCGCTTGCATATATCATATTTCATTAGTTAATTTATGTAAAATTTAGGAGAAAATGTAAATTTAATTACAAATATTTTTGTATGTCAAATTTAAATTACGATGCTGCTTTTGCTTATATGGCAAATAAAAAGAATGGTTTATTTAGCTTTTAAGTGGAATATGTATACGCAGTTTCGTTTATATCCAGCAGCTAATGTGTTAAATTGATTGTTGTTCGTGCAAATATTATAAGTAAACTTTTGTTGTATGTATGCAGAAAAGTAAAAATGTGCAAAATTATAAAAGAATCTCTTAATATATATACTTGCACTTGTTTATAAAACAAATACCGAAATTTCGCTAAGGCAAACTTTTGCGAAATAAAAGAGGCACTTCCATAAACTGGAAATGGCCTAAATAACTATGATTGTTGCGAAACTTTGAATTGTTGAATTTTTATGAAAAATATTTTGCAATTTCATATTTTCGGGTTATTCGGAATGACATAATTCAAGAGATAAGTGCAACTATTAATATGAGCAGGCGTTAATTCTTCGCTAAAGCCATGTAAAATATCTGCTTTGATTTATATTAAGGTAAATTATGAATTTTTAGGGAGGTTACAATTTTTTTTTAAATTAAAACGACACGATTTTAATGTAACTTTACATTATTTTATAAATCCTCATCGAATTTTAAAGTATAAGGAGCATAAGTACATATACATATAGTGCAATTTAAATACTGGCAATTTATAATTGTTCCATTGTGTGACTAGTTGTATAAAAAACATTATATGAAAACCAGAATGTGAAGTTCAAAAGTAATAAATGGTTAAAAACCTTAAACTTATGTACATGTGTATGTATTGGCTAAGTATGTGTGGTATGTATTTAAATATTTATAATCCAATTGTGTTATTCTTAACCACTTTCAAAGTTGGGATAAGTTAAAAAAACAGTTTTCGAAAATTAGCTTTCAAAAACATTCAAAGACGCTGTTTCAACGAAAGAGCTAACCGCACCGAAAGAAATATACTCTCGATATTGCTGAGTTGTGGAAGTCCCTATTCAAGCCAGGAAAATTTGCACACAAAGGAGGGCCCTATCGGCCAATTACTCTGCTATCCCCAGTTGTGTGGTTGTGGACCTTACAATATATCCAACAAAGAATGACATCTATTCTGTTGACAAGAAAAAAAACCCCTACCCGAGAATGAAAACCATTGCTCTCGATGACTCCGAATTGGGTATTTTCGCTGAAGTGATATATTTGGGAAACACACCGACGCCTTATAAGATATACGTCAAAATGACAATATTTAGGAATGGAAATTAGTCTCGAGCTCACGCCACTGCACATAAACATATATGCTCTAAAGAGCATGCAACCAAACGATCATAAACTTCATCCGAGAGAATTGTGGAAACAAAAATAAAGTGATATCATATCGAAATATGTAAATTTTCGGGTTTCGACCGAAGTGCTTTAAACTAACCGGAAGTCCATTATTTTAAATGGGCCATACATTGTTTTACTACAGATTCGTGTTCTGCGGATAAAAATACCTAATTTCAGTTTAATTTTTTTTTTTTTAGAAGGGGTGGACGCGTGGTCTAGGACATCCTCTATAATAGTATGTAAGTTTTCATAAAATAAATAAATATATTAATAATATTTTAATTATAATTGAAAGTATGCCACAAAAACAACAATACTTATTCACATAAATATATGTATGTTTGGTTAGTGGAAACTTTACCATGCAGCTGATAACACTCAGGGCGACATTCTGTAGATTGCATTGGCTTATCTTAATTTGCAAAAGCATTGTTTATGCTAATATACAAGCGCCATAAAATTTGATATCAGAATAGCACGTACATATGTATGTATATATATATATCTTCGTTTAAAGTACAAAACCGCGTAACTGACATTTGCTGCCAAAACANATGAGTGTTTTTATTCTCTAGAAAATAATTTATACAATCGCACATACGCGGTTTTGCATTTTGTTGATACGCGGTTTTGTACTTTAAACGACGATATATGTACCTACTTACATGTGTATGTACATACATACATACATAGTACATTTGTACATACAAATGCGGCACGTGCAGAGGCGTATAGTCAGTTTATAACTAATAGCGTTATTAAACTTTATATATGTATGTATCTATGTATATATTTGTACTTTTTTGAATGAAAGATGGCTATGTACATATGTATGTATGTGTAAATATACCCAGAAAACACAGTTTCAAACGCTTGAGAAAAATTTATTTCATAATTTGATATCAAATGATTCTCAAATTGAAAACGAGGTTTATATTTTACATTTGAAATTCATTTGAGATTGATTTGAAGAAACATGGCAAGTATCAAACGGTATAAAAATGCGCAGTTAAATCAAAAATTGTAAGAGTAAAATTTAATTCAGTTGAATAGAAAAAAAGAGAAAGCCCAAAAATAATGGACCTGATGTTTGCGCAGACTGAAGAAACTTCAGCCCTTCAAGACGAATTTATTAGTAACTACTTTATCTTAATTGTTTCTTCTCGTGAAGAAAAAATTTATATATACATTTCACAATTGCTAAATAACCTTTGAAATTGATTTGAGAGTTAACCATATGCTAAGATACGGATCAAACTCCCCTTTTTATTGAGAAAGCTGTAATTTTCAAATCCTTTTCAAATGTATATCAATCCTAATTGTTTGCTGGGTATGTGCATCTGTGACCTAAATACACAATTAGTTCGAAAATTATTCATTGATAAGCGTAGCTTCGAAAGCTACAAAAGTATATCGTCGATGTTTTTGCAAAAGCGCCCATCGGCCAATTGCAAAACCGCCTATATTACGGCACTCAAATTTTACAGGAGAGCGAAAAAACGGTTTATTCTTTGAAGGCATTGCCTTGATAGGCGGTATTTTCTCTAGCTATTATTTTACAAATCTTTTGTTTTAATAACGATTTAACGATTTTTATGCATAAATCTCTATGCCTGGAGTTCAGGGTTACCAAATCGCATTTTCGCCACAACGGCGATTTAGGCGGTTTTGCAGCTGGTCGATGGGCGGTTTGCAAACACATCGACGACGTGTATGTACAAATCGCTCATTTACTTCAATAGTGTCATAATAAAAAAATATACAATTTTTGAATTGAGTATGCAGAAATTACCGCTACCTCTTCTATGTTGTGTAAAACTTTCGCAGCTGTATCGATACCAGTATCTCACTAGAACAAAATATGTTTTAATTTTTACCTACTATGAGCGTATATGTAAATTCAAAATTTAAAGCCGTTTTCCTCGAATTTTGCTTTTTTGACTTATGATACTATTAAAGTAAATGAGCGATATGTACATTAGATTGTCCCCAAAAAGCAAAGTTTATTTTTTTGAACGCATACCCCCTCAAGCTATCGGGTTTGTCTTAAAAACTATACGAGTAAAATTTTATACAATTCGAACCATGTAAACCCGCGCCGACTTGCAGTGAAAGTTATCAGAATAAGGTAGCTGTTAGACGTGGCAAGTGCAAGTCCTTTTCACAAGTCTGTCAAACTGAATGATTTTCAAAAGAGATTGCAGGAGCAGTTAAGAGCGTGTCAGACGTGGCAATATTTCCAGCTTTTCCACGCAATTCGCTGTCAAATTGAGAAAGAGAAATTTTATTTCGATGTGAGAATATCCAGAAAGACCTTTCTGTCACATTTCGGAAATCAGCATGCAAGGTGTGACTACTAATGCAACTGCTTTCTGAAATTTCTCAATTTCAGAACAAAAATCTTCAGAGCACATAATGTGACAGCTCTCAACAGGCTCAGACGTTGCTTATCTAAATAGACATGAAAGGCAATTTTCCAAAGGACTTCGGAGGATTCCTCAAGGATGCCGGAATCAGAAAAGACTTATAGTAGAATCGAGGTTTGCTAAAATAGAACAACTTTGATTGCAGTGACTGAGTGACTTGCACTCTCCTCTAGGAATAATCTAATCTAAATTGCCTATATATGTATGCGTATATGCAAATCGAGCCCCCTAACCGCCAAAAAGAGGTAGATGAAATTTTTTTTCAAATTTGATTTTTACAGCGAAATGCATCTACATAGATGTTCAACGAGAATTTCTGCATGAAAAAT